GGTATGCTGAGGATCCTAGTTTTTTTAAGACCAGTAATTGTTCTATCATATGGATCAAAGGACATTTACGTCTGCAACAGAAAGCAATTGTACAGTTAAAAAAAAAAGCCCCCATTTGTGTATGTGCGTGGAAGGCATAAAAGCAAAACAAATCTCTGTAGTTTTGTAGTGGTCATCTAGTGTTAAAGACCTGTGCTTTAAAATAAAATAAATTCTAAAAAGGCAAAAAAATTCACAAACCTTAAGTTCAACATAAACATTTCCTCATAATCCCTTTCTGTTCCCAAGTATGAAAGACTAATAATCCCTTTTTTTTCCAAGTATGAAGAATGATGCCTGAAGAAGGCCTAGAAATAAATCCCCATTGACCAGTGTCTGTAGAGCAGGTATTTTGTTCATTGCAGCGCTGGTGTAGCACTGGAGGTGAGGGGGATTTCTCCTCCTAACCCACCTGCCTTCGCTTAGAATTGGCAGGTATTAATACAGCAAGTATGGTATAACATTACCATTGTCACTACGCCCCCCCATAAGCCCACCACTATATATGGGCACAGAAATACATGATATGACTGTTTTCCAAGTATGCATGTGTCATCCTCAATTTGGTGGTCATGGGGGTCTCCCTCTAATGAGATACCATCCTCTTCATCATGGTGGACTTCTCACCTTTGTCTTCAGGGCATGTGGAGTTGTGATGTTCATGTTTTTTTCTAGTCCTCCAAGTTTTTGCTTTCTGTTATTTTGCTGACTGTCTTGTGTCTCTGCCAAGTACTCTTTAGTGCTCTCTACTGCTCCTTATTATAGCATCTACCTGTCTACTTCTTCAGAACTTTTACTGATTTATGCTTCTTGGTGATTCTGTTTTGTCCAGGCACCAATCCAGCTGGCCGGATTACATCTAGCTGGTACACTGTATGTTGCTAATACCCTACATAAAAACTTACTAACAATATATGAAAAGGCTATTATTGATAATATATTGAAAGCCATTACATTGTATATTAACAATATGAAAAAGCTATTACATTCTATATTTATAATATATTAAAAAGGATATAGAAAGTTTTCAATCATAGGCCTCATAAGCACCTTGTCACTTTGACATAAACCATAGGTATCAAGACCTGAGCAATATTCAGCACAAAGGATTCTGAAAGCAAACAGGCCACTTGCAACATACAATGGGATTGTCAGAAGAAAACTTTTTTTTTTGCTTATTTAAATCTTGATTAACCCTACACACTATAACTATACCCTACACACTAACACTGTAACTGACACAGAAACAAATGATATTACAACAAACAAACTTTTGMGATACTTTTCTTTTGGAGGGATTTCTACAGGAAATACAGTATTATTACACTAGGACCATGAATGTACAACAGCACAGACTAAAACAGGACTAAGGAGACAAGATGGAGCCAAAACACCCAAGAAGGAATACTGATAACCGAATGGAATTGACAGGCAGTGGTAAACTATGAGACCATACCACATTCATGAAATCAGCAAACATGACATGACTCAACAACACTTTCAGCATTCTTTGTCCAAAGGGAAGATAAATGCAGCAAAGATCATGCAACATCATTACCAGACAAGAATAAAGCAAAAGACACAGTGAGGACTTGGTAGCCTGCATCCCTTTCTCCCTTGTCATCACACTGCAATGAATACATGCAAGAAATCAGACTGAGGAGATATCCATAAATTTAGGACTGCAAAAGCAAGAATATGAAAATATGAAAAAAAAATGTATTAGATTTCATATACAAGTTTACTGAAATTAATTTGCTCAAAATAAAAGTCATGTTCCTATCTACTCAGTGATCAGCTGTGAGCTGCTGGACTTTAAGCTCTCATCTCATATGGTTACACACCCTGTTTGGCTATTGCAGCATATTGGTATCTTAAACCCAAGCACTTACCAAGTGACATCTGTTGCAAAAAACACAGGAACATCACCACTATAGTGGGAACAGCCTAGGTTATCATTTACTGCCTTTTAGTTTCAGCAAAATACTCTTTTATCCTTTGTGTAAAATGGTGGGTTCTGCTGAGCATGTTCATGCCAATAATATACTATATTGATGGGTGGGGGAAAGCAAAAAAAACCCTTCCTGTAAAATGTACAGCAAGTGCTCACAGGGCTTGGGGTGCTGCTACAAGAGAGCTCTTCCAACTAATGATTGCTAAGTGTCTTCCTTAGAAACACACTGCCTGACCTTCTCCTAGTAAATAAATCAAAAAATCTTGCTTTCTTTTGGCATATCTTCACATACAATCTATGTGTATCCTCACAGAGGCTAATGTTCAATTTCATTCACATTCTGTCATAGATATGAAAGAGAAACTACCTAACTTACATTACTCAATAGAAATAATAAAAAAGCCAAAAAAATGTAGATGTATCCCTGAAAAACAGTGTTTCAAAAAGCAGCACTAATCATGACTTTTGCTTCCCATACATACTACACTACTTTTGGTAGTATTTGCTCTGACATGGTCCCAAGTTATATCTCAAAATCCTACTTTATTTTACTTTATGCTTCCAGAACATTACCATAACAAAYGCACTCCACACTTTCATTTCCATATACCTTTAATACAAATTCACACTGAAATATTTAACATGAATTATAAAGTAATCTATAAGCATTGAGATCTCTTGAATCAAAGTATCTTTCAAGTGAAACTTTTCCATCTTTGTGTGGGAAAATGCTTTCAGTTGATTCAACATCCCTGAACAACACAAAACCAACACCCTCTGGTCTTTACCTTGGCCCACTGGTAGAACCTGAATTTGAGTACAGATAAGACCGACAAGAAATCAAGTCCTTCATTCATCACAGAGAAATGGAGGAGGTTATTCATTAGGGTGTATGTTGTAAATCCTCATTGTCTTAGTCCTCTGCATTTCAATTTTATATGTTCTGACTGCCTTACAATGGAGATTAAAAAAAAAAAAAAAAGGGGGAAGAGAAAGAGGGGAGGGGAAGAGGAAAAAAAGACATAGAGAAAAAGAAGAAAAAAAAGATGAAAAAAAAAGAAAAAAAATACTTAGTTGCACCTTGAAAAACACCCCGCATTCATTTCATTGACTTCAATTCTGTAGCATGAAGAAAACATTTCTCACTAGTTAGACAATGTCCAATGTGTCTTTCTGTTGCTTTAACATTAGCATTAAYTCGGATGCCTTAAATAGAGACCTTTTTAAAATTATTCAGAATATTCTGACTATACAGATTGTCATTTCAGACCAGGCAGGTAAACTTGCTCAGATCAGCTAGTACTAGATCTTATCCTCAAGACATAAGGCAACTAATATGGTATAACCTACCACTACCATACAGAATATGATAGATATGGTATAAATTACTCTTTTAAGTATTTAATTCTAATTGTTAACAATTGTTTGAAAGTATAAACCAGATATACTTTTTCTAGCTTTTTTGCCTTCACCTATGATATGTTTCAAATCTCTTGTACTAGTAGTTTTAACTTTCGATAGTACTACTATAAGCATCCCAGGAGATTTATTAATCTTGAATATCACAAGCAATGGTAGATCCACTTAAGGATTAAATGAAAACCTGGCAAGTTATTAAATTCCTTTTAAGAACTATCTTATTCAATTCTGCATGCCATCATTTTTGAGTATGCAACATTAATACTTCTATCAATCTACAAAATGAGAACTTCAGAACAAATCTCAACTTCTTAACTCCTTCTGAGCCATTACTATATGCAAAATGGAAGCAATATGCTAAGAGTAAGTTTGTCTTCAATATGCATGCATTTTATAACGCAGTTCCTTTGGATTCACCCCTTAGGAATCAAGAAAAAACATGCTCTCTGACCATTTTCAGCCACATACAGGGAAATAACCTCCACAATGGCGGAATTGATCCTATCTTATATTATTTGACACTCAGCAGCTAAAAGATTCTCTCACTTGACAAGGAAGCAGATAAATCATCAAAATGGTGGGTTTGTATTTTAGATTGGATCTCTGAAGTTATTTTGAGCCTGTTTGAACAAACCTCTGCCTCCACATTCAAAAGAAGTATATGCTTTTGGCTACTTGCTAGCCCTTACCTCCTAGATCTCTCATTTTCACCTGTTAAACAAGCCAGCTGAGTACCTAAGGACTAAATTCAACCCACTTTCCATTTTTTCTGCGTGCTCTAGTCAGCAAATATGCTTCAGYCTTCCCGTAAAGTTATTTCTGAAAACTAGCTCCTGATTTCAGATCTGCAGCACAAAACATAAATATAAATAAGAATCCAGCAGATAAGTACTTAAAATATTAAGTTCAGTTAAAATTTTGGTATTAAACTGTAATTTTCCAAAAGTTATGAATTTATTAGTCTTGTTTTTAATGTGAGAACCCCTGCAAAGACAGAGAATGAGTACCCCAAATCAAAAAGGAAACAAAACACAACTCATATCAAGTGACATACCATAAAAGGACTTCTGATATTATAAATGCTACACTTTTTCATTTCCATGCTACACACTTTTTCTTGAATAAGTGTCTTAAAAATTCTAATTAATGCCAGAGATACWTTTTTTTTTCACTCCAGTCTATAAGAAGACTCACCACAAGCCTACAGGACCAATGTGAAAACAGTCTATCGTAAAATCTGCCACTGATGTCAACTCCGTGTTTGCAGTCCACAAGTCAATCAGAGAACTGACCGTGGCTTTACCACTGCTGAAGAGCTTTGGGACCCACTCCTTCACACAGCTGGTCTCACAGCAGAGCCACGTTCTGGCACGTTCAAAATCGTGTGCGAATCAAATTTGTAAAAGACTGATACACAACACATACATATTTTGCAAGTAATGCCTAAGATCTAATACATGAGTTTTAAAGAAACAGAATGAGGAGTGAAGGCTTTCCAAAAAAGACCCAACAAACTAAAATCAATAATCCAAATTAAAAAAAAAAAAAAAAAAAAAAAGCCCCTCCCAGGCACTANTGGGAACCATACCTAACTCGAAACAGCTGGAAGTCGAAACCAACAAAATGTCGACACTTGACCGCTTCCCATGGCTGGACACTAGAAATGACAGCGCCAGGGGGGGCAGTGCCCAAGTCCACAGGGGCTCTGCCTGTCCGCATTAAGCCATCTTCCCACGCCCGGCACGCCGCCCGCCGTTTTAAGCCGGACCCCATGACGGGCGGGAGGCACCGACGCCGGGACGACCCCGCTCGCTGCCCGGCGGGGCTCGGGCCAGGGGCACCAGGCACGGCGGGAAACTTTGGCGGGCAGGTAGTGCGCCATGCCCCGGCCGTCTGGGAAAGGTCGTCGCTCCCGTCAGCCTCGCACGGGACACAAAGCCCCGGCGGGAAGAGCGGACGCTCCGCCGCATCCACCCCCCCGGCGACGAGGAGAGCGCTCAGCCGGGGAAGGGGCGGGCAGTATGGGGCATCCCCCGCCCTACAGCGCTGCAGCCGCCGCAGTCTGCAGCCAGCGGGGGAAAAGCTGTTCCCGGCACCCGCACGCCCGCGGCCTCCGGCGGTACTGAGCGGCCCCCGAGCGTCCGGGAACCCGCCCTGCGCGCAGGAGAGCGGTGCCGCCGCCGCCGCACGTGTGCCCGGCCAGGGGCAGCAACCAGCGCGACCGGGCAAGCGTCCGGCCGGGGCGTGGGACCGGCACCAGCACCGGCGCAGGGCTCCGGGGAATCACCGCAACTCAAAGGACCCCCTGCTCCCGCTCCTGCTCCTCCCCTCCCCGCAGTCCCCGTGCTCGGGCGAACGCGGCGCAGGTGGAACTCACAGAAAGAAGATGCGCCGCACCGCCGACGCCGGCCGACTCTCCCTCGCGATGCTGGCGGTGACACCCCCCACCGGGGTCTGTCGCCGCGACCCCCCTTCCTGCCCCGCCCCGAGACCGCCCCCCCACGCTCCGCCCCGCCGGCGTGGGGGACGCGGCAGTGCTCACGTCGGCCCGGGAGCCGCGCCCAGTCGTGCCGCCGAGGGGCGCTGTCTCCGCCCGCGTCGCGCCTGCCTGGGCCAGGCCGRGCTGGGTCGGGCCAGGCCAGACCGGGAGTGGGGCCCGGCGGAGCCGCTGCCACTGGGAACCGGCTGCGGTCCGCAAGGAAGGGCTTCGGTGTCCGCAGCGAAAGGACTGGGGTGCACAGGGGAGGGTCTGGAGTGTCTAGGAATTAGAGTCCGCAGGGAATGGGCTCGGGGTCCTCTTGGAGAGGTCCGAGCCGTGCGAGGCCCGCGGGGAGGGAATGAGGCCTTCCGTGCTCCTTTGATTGCTCTCCGGCAGGAACGGGCGGACCCCTGCGCCATCAGGCCCGGGGGGAGAAGCTCCTTGCCGGGAGAGGAAAGGCTGAGGTTGCAGGGTCGTAAGACGAGTGCAGCGAATTGAGAAGGCTCTGCAGACCCCTCTGCCAGGCGGAAGGGGGTGAGACCCGCTCAGGACAGCGGGAAGCCTGTGCAGGGATGGGTGCTGGGGGTAGCATATGGCAGATCCTAGGAGATCCTGGTAGCCAAGCGCCCAAGGCGAGCGTGTCGATTATGCTGGCAAGATTGTCGAGAGCTCCCGCGTACTTGAATGAGACGATGTTTTCAGTGGAATTCATAACATAAAATAGCAAGCTAAAGCTTGGGTATGTTTTACAGTGAGCTGTATCTCAACCACACATCCCACCGCATGCGAACCCTTAACAGGTTTGTGCAGGGAACCTTCGAGAGATTTATCTACATCCGTAAAATGGAAGAATTAGGATCCAAATCTGTGTCGTTTTTCAGGGGCATTGTGATGTAKTTTATCAAACGACTGTCTTAAGTTATCAAACAAGGCTGTCTTAATGGTCCTTAAAAATATAAAAAATATATATGGTAAAGCAATTCTGCCACCTTCAGATTAAAATAATACCTGTTTTTCTGAGTAGACCTAGCAACTTCTTTATGACAAAAAATCTGGGTAATTGGGTCTGTGATGGATGTTTCAATATTTCTACTAAGATTACGATGTATTACCAAGATGAAGCATTTTCCTTACTCATATAAAATGGAAAATTCAACACTTATTAATTCTTTGAAAGCTTTTTAACATTTCTGAAAAGTAAAGCACATCAGTGGAGCTTTGGCTTCGCCTTGATTGCTTGGTCCTTTTTCTTCAGAAGGTGAAAACTGCCTTTATGCGGATATAGGACATAGCAAGCAAATCGTGATTAATGTGTCCCAAAGATGCTTTCATTTGTTGATGACAAGAAATATTAAGCTTTTTGAAGAAAAATGTGGACTCACTGGCTCCTACTGATTTGCAGAGTCACACCAGCATTTCTTTGTAGAGCTCGTACCGAGGCTTCATGTAAGTTTCTGTCAGGTTTCCCCTATATATTGATCTGGCTTTTGAAAATGAACACTGTAAGTGCAAAGGCCTGGTCTAAGGATTCCAGACTTTGCCCTGAGCAAAGCTATTCCATGGTGCTTTTGTGAAATAAGGAACTGATAAAAACCTGTTGCAGAGGCAGGAGCAACCCAAAAACTTACTTCCACCTTAAGCCTTGCATGGCATTATGGAAGGGGCAGCTTCAAAGGGTGCAGCTTCTCTCACAGGGGGCTACATCCTATTCCAGAAGCTTTTCCATGCTACTGTCTCTTATGCAAATTCTTTAATTGGTGTAAATTAATATAATCTCAAAGCAATCTTTCCAAAGGAAAGTGTAGGCAAGAATTTGGAGGACCTTAAAATAGTCCTTAGCAAATGTCTTATTTCATTACAATTTTATGGCCTGCAAATTCAATCCTTTTTCTGGGACTGAGCAGAACATCTGGCTTACAAGTAGTAATAGAAGGAATCAAAGTATTTGGAAAACAAACAAAAAAATAAAAAGAAAATCATTGGAAATATGTATTATTAACACTGAAAAGAAACTGGAAAAGAAACTGAACTTGTGGCCTACTAAGAGGATATTCTTGAAATTTTCTTTCTGAATATTGAAAGTTTTTCTTCAAAGTTAGAGAAAATTATTTAAAATCTCAGATTTTTGTCTACTACCTTTGTATCAAAGCCATTAATTTGAGTGGAACCTGTCAAATCTGGTTTTCTTTATGACTAATGTAAGGCAATCATCTACCTTAGACTTAATATTTTATGACTCTCTGTGTAATTCTACTGAATTTTACTCAATTTGCTCATACTGTTTTCATTACTTTTGAGTGCTATTTTCATGTTGCTTCACAAAAGCAATAAAAATGAAAACATTAAAATGTTTAATTTTTGCCTTCCTTCTGAAATCTAAGGCTAGACTTATAGTGTCCTGTCCTTTGAATTTGAAAATAGCTAACATAGAAAAGCAAAGTAATTTTTAAACTTTATTCTGTGACTTATGCTGTTACCTCCTAATGTGAAGTACTGAAAATAAACAGGCAAACCGTAGATGCTGTAAAGCACTAGACTTCTTCTAGGACTGACCTCACTGAGCTGAAAAATTATTTCTCATCTTGCATGGCTGTATATCTGCTTTTACTTTAATTACTTCCTGATTAAAACCTAAGTATTCTGAATGTTTTTAATTAGAAAAACTACTTATAACTTATTGTGGGAAATAAAACTAGGGGGTTTTCTTTAGTTTGCAAATCTTTTCCTGTGCATTAGGTCCAAATTCAGCAAGTACTTGAAGAATTTTGAGATTAGTTGCATGCTAAAGCAACCAATTTTAGACCTTTGACATGAAAGTTACATAAAAACATGTTTGGTCTATGATTGTAATCTCACGATAAATACTTGGGCTTCCTTGTATACAGGAATAAATTTATATTAAATTAATGTTCTGAGTTCCTGCTCAGGTGAACATATTTTGAAATGTTTCATTATCCAAGCCTGAATCATACTAAACCATCATTACCTGCCATTTAGATATGTGAGAAAGTATTGTGTGCAAAAACCTTTTGAGTCATGCAGTCTTATTGGATATATTTCCATAACACAGTAATATTGTTACTGGCAAGCAATGATAATAAATATTAAATAATGAAGGTCAGTATCATATAGCTTGATTAAGTATTTTAGATAGGTAAGTTGATTCCAGACTCTCAGCTCTTTGCTTTGAGCACAATTTACTCTATTTTTGCTATAGACACTTAATTTCCTTTTACCTTGGGTTTTTTTTCTTTTTTTTTTTTTTTTTTTTGTGGGGGGGCACATTTGGTTGGTTTCTTTTTTAGAAAATACAAGATACAAACCTCTTTCCTTCCTTGCATATATAAAAGTACAGACTGCRTCATACACCACAGAGCTGCATGGTGGTTTTACTTTGCAAATGGAGCAGCATGCTGGCAGCAAAAAGGATGAAACCCTTTGAAGAGCTCTTTTGAGGATAGAAATCAGCCCGTGATCTCTTTCAGGCTGCAATTTTATTCATCACTGTTTCCCAGGTTTTTTTCTAGCACTCAGCAGGATAAATTTCAATTTCAAAAAGCAGTCCCAGAGAAGTAAGTATATTATAAAGATATGTAACACAGCTCTAGTTAATATACTTTATATACCTTGATATAATGCAAAAATATACAAAACAAATACCTTTATATTGGAGGCTTCATTTTTTCCAGGTAAATGGAAATATGTGACAAATGTGGTTATGTAGTTAACATCCATAGCAAAAGTTGTGTGCAGTGAATGGTCTTCAAACTGCAGATGAGATAAGCTTTTGGGCCACTGCTGTTTATATAATGCCTTTCCCATGTGTGAAGGATGCTCATATCTACCTCTGGCAGGACAATACTTAATGAATAAAACAATAATTAATGTTGATGTTTTGAAGACAAATTATTATAAAAACATATTACCTAGAGTGCTGCCATATTTTACATACTGTGAATGGTTTCTAATGGTTTCAGAACAGAAAATATTTATTGTATCTATCTCAGCTATTTGTGTGCTTCTATCCTACATATACACTATCCTTAGAATCTTCAAGTGTAAAAGAAACCTGACATGGCTGAACAAATGTATAAGTGATCACTGGTGCYCTGGTGCCAGTAATCCAGTTGTCATTAATTTGAATGTGACAGGTCAACGATCCTTAGAAAATTTTCTGCATTTCTCTTGTGTCATTTTGAGCCTCTTTAAATAATCTTACTCTTGCCCTTTTGTCTCTGGGATATACATAGGTGGCTCTGAAAGGTTGGAATCTTTCCTGTGTTTGCTTTCCGTTTGTTTGCTTGTTTGTTCTGAGAAAA